CTGGGTGACACCGGACAAGTGACTGAACCATTCTGTGCCTGTTTCTTCATCTGCAAGATCCGGGTACGAGCAGCTCCTGCGTCGCAGGGTTATTCTACAAGTGGAATGAGGTAAAGCAGGCACCTGGCTCCTGTTTACCTCCCCGACCTGTGTTCCTGCCCCTCTCCGCCTGGACCCAACTGCCTCGCTCACTGGTTGTGGGTCAAACGAACCAGGTCTGTCCCCACCTCGGGGTCTTCGCACTTGCTCTTCTCTGCCAGGAACACTCCCAGACAGCCACTGTCTCTTTACTTCAGATCTTCGCTTAAAAGTCACCCCCCTCAGAGTCACCTCCCCCCACTAGACTGTCAGCTCCTTAAGGACTGACTGGCTGCTGTGTCCCCAGCCCCTGGCGTGCTTGCTGAGTGAATGTAAGCCCTGAGCCCAGGGCTGGCACGCAGGACGTTACTTTTAGCTTGTAGGCTGGATGGAGGCTGTTCCTTGAAAAATCCTCTGCTCAGAGCTACACGCCCTCCCCTCGGGAAATCTGTTCCCCAAACCCTGGAGGGCCACGCTCTCCTGCCCTGACCAGGCCCCACATCCTGTCTTTTTCTGGGAGGGAGGAGAAGGGCAGTCAGATGTTGGCCGGCTGGTGGGGGTCCCGGCAAGTCGCAGCATCCAGACCTGCCTGCACCCAGGCGCTGGGTTTCTTAACCAGCCTCCAGGAGGTGAGGGGGCCCATGGGGGCCCCCAGAGTGCGAATGAGTCAGTCGGAGCCAAACCTGAAACCTCGACGCCAACACCACTTCTTGAAAAGGCACAGACACGCAGTGACTGAAGTGACAGAACCGGGAGTGCTGAGTGGGAGGGAGCAGTGGCCCGGAGGAGGGGTGGGCGGGAGGGACAGACCTTCTCTACTGAGGCCCCTCCCCCGGCCCCTCTGCCAGGCCTCTGCCCCTGGTCTTTCTCATGCCCCCCCTCCACCCTGCTTCGCTCCCCCTCCCCCCTCCCCACTTCCTGACAGGGGCAGCAGGCCCCGCTCTCCCGTGTGAACTTCGGGGCCAGGCGTGTTTCCCAATCCAGAGCCACTCAGATTATAGGAAGGGCATCGTGTATAAAACACCAGCCGACGAAGCACCCACCCCACATGACCCGAGCAGCACCCCACTATCCATCTCAGGAATCTCTCTGCAGGACGGAGGCGCGCTCACGCCAAGGAGGAGAAGTGAAGACCCCAAAGAGCCTTGTGGTCAGTTCACATCAGGTCATGCTCCCAACAGAGTTATGAAAACCTTTCCGTTTTCTGAGCTCACACGTTTCAGAGTTACAGCTAAGGGGTGTAGATCTGTGGGTATACACTTGTTGGTGTATTGCCTGTCTTCTCGACTAGAACTGAAACTCTGGGAGGGCAGCACTCTGTCCAGTGCCCTGTCGGTGGCCCCTGGCACATGTAAGTGCTCAGTAAACACATGGATAGAAAATGAATGAGGAAGCCAGGGATATGGAGGAGTGACTGTCTAAATGGGGAAAGAAACAGCAATCACTGAGCCACAGGCAAGGTGCCTATGAAAATTATCACATGAACACCCATTTTACTGACAAGCAAACTGAGGCTCAGAAGGTTAAGCAACCACTCCAGATCACAGCTAGGAAGCAGCAAGCTCACATTGGAACCTGGGGCCCCCATCTTCAAGCCTCTGCCTCTCTCTGTGCCTCTAGCTCAGAGAAGCAGGGTGACTGGCTGGAAAACACACAACAAAGCAACGGGAATAGGGCCCATCGGATGCTGGCTCCCGCAGGGCCCTGCAGCCAGCGCTTGGGTTCTCCCATCCACCCCCTCGCAAGCGCAAGTTCAAACAACATCCTGGCAAGCCGCTGGCCTCTCTTCTAGACTAGCCAAGGGAAGTCTGGCCAAGCATGACCAGGCATGTCTCCACAGTGCCGGCCACGAGCACTGCTGGGAAGGCTGTCCCTCTTGGTCACCCCAGCAAACTGGAACGTAGGAATAAACACAGGCTGGGGAGAAAAGCAGGTTCAAACCCCTCCCTCTCTCACTCCTAGACGTGGGACCTTAGGCAAGGCCACCCCACACATCTCTGATTCTCGGTTTCCTCACCTGCAAAACGGGTAGACTAACCCCCCCTTTAATGGGGTTCCTTTATTGAACAAATACATAGTGCTTACTCTGTACCAGGCCTTGTTCTGTACGCCTGACATTTATTAATTCATTCCGTCATCCCTACCACAGTGTGAAGTAGTCACTGTAATTTCACAAATGTGGAAACCGAGGTCCTGAGAAGTCAGCTACGTAGTCAGGAGCACAGCCAGCCTCCGAGCCCGGGCGGCGTGGCTCCAGAGCCCAGGCTCTTCCCCTCCAGGCTATGCTGCTTGACAGAGGACAGCGGACGTGAGCGTTTGCTGTGGACGTCCTATGTGCTGCAAACTGTGTTAACTGTCTTACAAAACACGATGCCATTAGCTCTCATGAAAGCCCAATTGCACAAACATGGGGAAACTAAGCACTGAGGGCTCTTTGGTCCCCGGCCCCTCCCAGGTGCATGGAAAGCAATCGAGGGCAGTGAGCAGAGGGTAAGGAGAGAAGGGGTCCAGGAAAGGTTCTATTCTCACTTCTCTACCCCTGACCTCAGTCCTTTCTAAATCTGAGCATCAGGAAACAGAAAGCCTTCAGGCATGGCCTCCGCAGGCCCTGCTTGGGCTCTCTGCAGTCCTGGACGTGCTGCTCGAAGCTCCTCAGCACTGAGTCACTCACTGCCCGACTGCGGAAATCCTCAGGTCGCCCCAGATCTGCTGGTAAATGGTGTGTTGTAACCAGGGCGACTCACTAGTGGTTTCCCCCCTGCTGCCTTCCCATGGCCTCCCTCCAGATTCCACTCCAAAGGCCTGGCCGGGGCCCAAGAACAGGTGCTGAGACTCTCAGGGCTCAGGCAGAGGTAGAACCCACTGGCCTACTCCTCAGCGCGGCGTTCGAGAGCCCACAGGGGTGTATGACCTTCTGGCGTCTCTGGGCCACACTGGAAGAAGAGCTGCCTTGCACCACACATTAAATACACAAGCACTAATGAGAACTAGTGAGCACAAAAAGCTTTTAGGTAAATGTACGATTCTGTGTCGGACCGCATTCACAGCCATCCTGCGCCGCGGGCTGGACCCCGCTGCGTCTACATCACCAGGCCCACCTTTCCATCCTTCTCTGGCTTCTCCTCACTCCCTAGGCACCACCTGCCATGCCGTTCACACTTCCCAGCCTTTGTCCATGCTGCTCCCACTGCTCAGCCTCACTTTCCCCTGCCAAGCTCCTCTGCTCCGCTTCCCAGGCTAGGTCAAGGGTCCCTGCTCCGTGAAGCTGTCTCAGTGCCCCATGAAGAGTTGGCCACCTGCAGGTGCTCCCCCCTCCCAGAGGGAGACCTCCTTCAGGACAAACACCAGTGCCCGGGGCAGGGGGAGCCCTGTGAGTGCTAGTGAGTGCGGGAATGGCCGGGCGGGTCCCCTCCGGGTCCACATCAGCACCCTCCTCGGTAATCAGGTTGGACTAGCTGAGTTCTGGGGCCTTTGCAGGACTCTGGAATCCCCTGACTGTGTGGGACACCCTGACCAAATGGGCGCCGGAGCCTTCCATTTCCTCAACACACTTTAGAATTTTAATAAAGGCACTGATGTCCCAGCAAATGCTCCAGCTCCCAAGAGACCACCCACAGGGGTGTAGCTGCAGGGGGTCACAGCTCACAGAGGACCGGGACAGGCAGAGACTAGGACTCAAGCAGGATTACTGCCGGCCTGGGGGCAACCTAGGGGGGACCCCAGCATCAGCAACCAGCCTGCTGGTTGCCAGTCTCTCCTGATTATAGGAAATACAGATTTTGGTTTTTGTTTTTGAATCCAGATTCCTTGATTTATTGAAGGTGACTATCATGGGAAGGGGCCTGGGAATATGCAGTGTAATCAAATCCCCCGGAGAATTTGTTTATGGGGTAGTTTGACAAATACTGTTGACAGGTGGAGGGCAGCAGGCTTTCGTGGCAGAGTGTCTGAGTTCCCTTCCTGATCCACACTTTCCAGGTGGGCCTCACCTTGGGCATGTTATCGAAGCTGCCTGTGCCAAGGCATCCTCATCTGAAAAATGGCCATACAACAGCACCAACCGGACAGGTTATTTTGGGATTTAATTCAGAATACTTTCTGTGTTCAGAAGAGAGACTGCACAAAATAAGCCCCAGAAAATTATCCCTAGTATTTGGTCTGTCCAACAATACTCAAATAAGGAGGCCAAAGGTGGGAAGGACCCTATTTCCTCAGATTCTTTGACCTCGTATCCACTCGTACAGTTTCAGAACTGTCCACCCTTTCTCTGCCCACAATCCTTACCAACACCCAGAGAAGGGGCCTGAGTAGCCCAAGACCTGTATCACCCCACTCTTTCCACATCCCCAAAGCCCCCGAGAGGCCGTCCCCGCTGATGTCCCAGACAGCACGAGTTTCAGGGAACCAGGCTTCTGAGCACCTGGAGGCCAGCCTTCCTTCCCAGCTCCGCACCGCGGCTGCCCTTGACCCCGTGCACCGAGCCGGTCGCTACCCAAGTGTGGGTCGCAGCATTCCCGAGGCACCGCGCCATGCCCCGCCGGCAGCCTAGCACTTCTCGGAAGACGGCTACACAGTTCGGGTCACCGCGCCTGGCCCCACCTCCACCCCGCGCGAACCTCCGCCTCTGCCCTGCGCTGCCCCGCGTCCCACCTGTGTACTCCCGTCCATTCCACAGCCGGTGCACGAGCGAGAAGTGGGGACCCGGGGACTGTCCAGCCGATGGCGCTGCGCGGGACTTTCCGGGGTGAGGGACTCGGCCCGCCCTCTTTCCTGTGCCCGCCCCCAAGTTTGCGAGCAGCGCCCCGCCCCTTGAGGGCGCGAGATCCGCGTCTTCGTCACTGTCCCTCCGCCCCCTCAGAGTCCGCCCGCTGACTTTTCCTAGGGACGCCCCTAGCTCGCCATTTCCCCAGCAGAAGCCGGAGGTCACGGCCTCGGAGAACCCGCAGTAGTTCCCCGGTGCTCTCAGAATAAAGGCCCATCTCCCGACGAGGCCCCATTCGCTCTGGCCGGCCCCTGCGCCCCTCCCGCCGCCCTTCCTGCCTGGGCTCCCAATTTACTCTGTGGAGCAGGCAGCAGTGCGTTTTGGGCAGAGGGGTTGGGCAGCTTAATTCTTCCCTCCCCAGCAGCCTAACAACTGCTGAGTGCCAATGTGTGTTCCTTCCTCCCACAACTGTTTACTCAGCGCCTGCATTCGTGTGTTAGGCTCCAGGAAAAGTTAGATAGTAAAACAACCCTTCAAATCACTAGCTAGTACAACCTGAGAGGCCCCGTGCTGTATTCACACAGCAGATGTGGCATTCGCACCCAGGCTCCATAGATCACTAACCACTGGACATCCTAAAAGCCCCGATGCAACCAGAAGGTAGGAAAAATACTAAATGGACAAAGAATTCCAGGTAACAAGAGGTCCCAAGAACAAAGTAAAAAGAGAGGGATCTATTAGGCCAGTGGGTCTGGTGGTTAGAATTTATCCTTGAAGAGGACACATTGAGCTGAGAACCTGAAGAGGATATGAGGAGGACAAGTTTAGGGAGAGAGAACAGCAAGTGCAAAGGCCCTGGGGTGGGAACCAATTTAGTATGTTGCAGGAATTGCCTGAAGGCCAGATTGGCTGGAGAACATTCAGGAGGCGAGAGCAGAGAGAGAGGTGAGGTAGGAAAGGTGCAGGCTCAGGCTCGGCAGTGCTGGGGACCCAGGAAGAATTCTGATCCCACCTTGCCCTCAGGGAGCGGCTGGTCTGAGAGTGGAAGCAAGCCCCTTGGAGCTGAGGGCAGCCCAGTGAGTTTGTTGTGGTGGAGGGTGGGCTAGGGAAGCAGCAAAGCCTCTGGTGAGTGAGGGTGGGCTTCAGGGTGATGGGAGCAGGGAGGGACAGTACTTTAATTCTCTTTCACTGTTTTTCACACACTCATTCTTTTTTGGCCTTACTGTGTGCCTAACTTGTGACAGGTGCCAAGGATGCAGATATGAAGATACGGAACAGACATGGGTCCCGCCCTCTGAGACCTTACAACCAGTGGGCAAGACAGCCGCTGATCCTCAAGTACATGACAATATAGTGGACTCAGTCTCCCGGAATAGTCAGTGGCAGCCTCCTGGAGGAGGTGGCCTCTGATGATGCCTCCAAAGGTCAGTGGAAGGGAAAAAGGGGTAGGTGTTCAGGTGGAGAGGACTAAAGGAGCAAACACTTGGAGGTGAGCCATGGTGGGGTGGGGTGGGGTGGCACTGGAAAAACAGCATTATTCAACATCTATTTATTGATACCTCCATGTGCCAGGTCCTGAGCAGGGTGCTGGAGAGAGTGAGAAATAGATGCTGGCCCTGCTTTCCTAGCCCTGGGGGTGTGGTTGGGGCCCTGACAAGTAAACAGACACGAGCAATTGAGTGTAATGAACTCTGTGATGAGGTTAGGGTTAAAGTTAGGCTTAGTGGAGGGGAGAGGAGAGGGACTTTAAGAAGGACCTGGGAGCCTGGGCTTCCTGAGGGAGTAGGAACTGGCTGGACAAGGTGTGATCTGCACAGGTCAGGTAGGAATTCCACATTCACATTAGACATGAATTTTACAAGACACATCCAGGCAGCTCCAGTGGGTTGCTTCACTGAGAAGAGTTTGACTCTGCCTAGAAAAGCTCACACACACTCATACTCACCCACATATACACTCACTCACATCCACAGACCACCAGCCCAAACACTTTCACTCACACTTCATACTCATACTTCACACCCATGTACTCACATATACACACTTGCACTCCTCACATATTCACACTCATATTCACCCTATGTTCACGTTCACCACATTTAGTCCCTATGTGCCACACACATTCATAGTCAGACATCCATATACCCCCTCATGTTCACACTTACACACACATTCATACCCACGCCCAGACTCAAACTTATACACTCACACACATCACTCCCTTTCACACTTGTACTACCTCACACACCCACAGCCACACTCATATTCATTACTTGCACACCCACACAGGCAGTATTTGAGTCCAGGCAGTGTAGAATGAACATCATGGGCTTCCCTTTGTAAAAAAGAAACCTTCTTTCCTGCAGCCCTGGTGCCTCTGAGTTTGTGCCCAATCTCATCTGGACATGACAGCATAAGTCTCACTTTGGGAATATGTGGCCTGGGCTGACCGGTCCCAAACTAGGCTCCCACCCTGTGTTCTGCATCTTTAAGTCATTCTTCATCTTTCCTCACTTGCCACCAGGCCCCCTGCGTCTGAACAGCGACCCAGCTACTTGCTGACTACGTGACTTTGGGCAAAGCAGATCAGTGCCTTGCCTCAGCTTCCAGGTCAGCAAAGTGGGGGCGATGCCGGACCAGCACACCTCAGACGGCTGTGTGAGGGCGGAGGGGTGAAACACCGAGAAGGGCCGGAGACAATGCCTGGCGCAGGTGAGGTGCTCAATCCGTGTTCACCGTTGTTCTTGTCAGAGTGACGAGGAGAAAAAGAAGCCAGAGCAGAGCCTGCCCCTTGGCCTGTTTGCCAGCTTGTGAAGAGGGGCGGAGACTGAAGACGGGAAAGGACGGAGCAGGTGGGGGTGGGCGCCAAGACATTCGGGAGATCTGGGGGGAGGGGATGTGGTACTTTTCTTGCAACTTTTCTGTGAGTCTGAAATTATGTGAAAACTAAGAGTTAAAGAAAGCAGGGCATTGCCCTGAGGCCCAAGAGAGATGACAAGTGTGAAGGTTGCTGTCTGGCACTCAGCCCCTGCCCGAGCTGTCCCGCTGTCAGGAGCTGTCCCGCTGTCAGGAGCCGCTCTGTGTCAGGCCTTGGGGAGGGGCCCGGAGGCCCCCGAATGATACAAACTCCGGCCCTCGATCCAGGGCCTTCCTGAGTATGGGCCCCAATACAAGTTCGGCTCTCATTATGATACCACATTCTCACTTGTTTTAAAAAAATAATAAAAGTGAATTTAAAAATTTTACAATTGTGGAATTACAGAAAAATTGATAGCCCAGAGAGCACCCATAAATCCCCTCCCCTGCACACAATTCCCCTCGTTATTGACGTCTTGCATTGATGTGGTATTGGCGCATTTGCTCCAAGTGGTGAACCGACGTGTAAGCGTTATTGTTACCTTCAGTCCGGAGTTCACACTAAGGCTCACTCTTTCTCTAGTGCAGGGCTGCGGGTCTCGACAACGGCTTGTGTCCACCCAAACAGCAACGTAGAGAACAGTGCGACCTCCTAACAGCTTCACCTATTCATCCTCCTCCCCTAAACTTTGGATGCCACTGACTTTTTACTGTCCCTGGAGTTTGGCCTTGGAATCGAACTGCAACCCACTGAGGGTTTGCAGGCTGGTGCTCAATCCACACCAGCCAGAGCAGCCTTTGCTTCTTTGTCAAAGATCAGTTGACTATATTTGTGTGGGCCTTTTTCTGGGCTTTTATTCTGCTCCATTACCTTGTGTGTCTGTTCTTTCACCGATACCATGCTGTGTTGATTATTGTAGCTTTTTGTAAGTCTTGAAGTTGGGTGATGCTAGTTCTTCAACTTTGTTCTTCTTCATCAGTATTGTGATGGCTATTTTGGGTCTTTTGTCTTTTCATAGAAACTTTAGAATCAGTTTGTTAATATTCACAAAATAACTTGCTGGAATTTTATTGGGATATGTTGAATCTCTAGATCAAGTTGGGAAAAATTGTCATCCTAACAATATTGACTTTATTTATTCATAAAGAGAATATCTCTCCACTTATTTAGGTCTTTGATTACCATGTACTCAGTTGTCACATTTAATCTTCAAACAATCTTATATGTTCCCATTTTATAGATGAGGCAATTGAGACTCAGGGAGGTTAAGTAACTTGCCCAAGGTCTCACCGCTAAAGTGGGAGAACCCTGGACCACGCCCAGTATCTGCCCTACTCCGAAGCTTGTGCCCTCACCCACGCTGCTATACTTCCTCTCTGGGATTCTATCCAGAGGCTATACCTATGGCCTTCCTTTCCTTGATAGAAGGACCCAGATCAAAATGAGCCAATGTCCTAACGACTGGTTGGCATCGTGGCCTATTTTCCCACTGTAGTATAGATGTTGTTGATGCTCCACCCATATCTCCTCACACTTACCAGTTCCACCTCACCAGTCACTGCCAGCACCTGCAACTCTGCCCAAGGGCATTCTCTGGCCACAGAGCCAGTTGCACCTGAGCAGAGGGTATATGGAGAGTTAGTGCTCACAAGAGCAGGCCTCAGCCATGATGATTGTAATTGGAGGATAAATCTCCCAGTTTCCTCACTTTTCAGGGAATGCTGAGGGACAACTCTGAGACATGTTTAGCAGTCTCCCAGAAGTCCCAGAGAAATTAAGTCCCAGTCCTTTAGCTCATGAATGCACCTCCACTGGCTTTTAAAAATTTTTAATCCTCACCAGAGGACTTGCCTATTGATTTAAGAGAGAGGGGAAAGGAAGATGAGAGACAGAGAGAGAAACATTGATGTGAGAGAGAAACATTGATTGGTTGCCTTTTGTACATGCCCTGACCAGGGACCTAACGCTAGGTATGTGTCCTGACTGGGAATCAAACCCATGACCTTTTGGTCAAGGGGACGATGCTCCAACCAACTGAGTCACGCCGACCAGACCTCCACTGGCTTCTTTCCCTCCTCCTTTCACTTACCATCTCTCTCTCACTGTGTCTTCTGGGATCATCTCTCATGTAAGTGAAGTGCACTCCTTGTCTCAGGAACTTCTGGGGCTATCTAATCCAGTCACCCCCTCCTGTAGCATCCTTGATATCTCTGAAAAACCACCCTCCTTAGCTCTCAGTCCAAATAAATTACGTAGAATTGGCTCCACTCCAACTCCAAAAGTGGGTGGTTGACTCAGGAATAGCCAATCAGAACACTTTGGTCCCTTAGCCTTTGTGATTTGGTCAGAGATAGGCATATGATCCATCAGAGCCAATGAGATGCTTTGATATTTTGAGGGGGTGGCCGAATAGTCACCTCCCCTTTCTACTGGTGTCTCTGACCTGCACCAGCTGGAGGATGTAGGGCTGCAACTCTGGCAGCCATCTTGCCTGACACCAGCTTTACTGCTTTTTCTGAATGTAAAGATAGAACATATTTGTAGGAGATTGCACTGATGGTCCCAATTCTTTACACCTCCTTGTACCCATATTCCTTATCTTATAACTTGTAAGTACTTCTCACCTGGAGTTCAGGCTCAGCCACATGACTCGTTTTGGCCAATGAAACATTAGCAGATATGATGGGGCAGAAACTTGAAATTCACTTCCATGATTGGACTTATTTGCATTTATGTCATTGTCATGAGGATGTCTCCAGGCTGGGTTCACCCATAGTATAAGAAATAATGTGGCATGGAGTTACTTCCACCGTCTCAGTCAAGGCCAGTCTATGCCCACACATGAAGAGCTCAGCCAAGGTCAGCAGTCGCCTGGCCAACCACTGAGCATGAGCAGTAAATGCTTCCTGTTGCAGGCAACGGAGGGCTGCTGCAGCATTGCCAGAGCCGTAGGTAATGGAGGCAGTTCTCGGTTAGAAAGTTAAAGCCATACAGAAAAGTATAAAAAATTCAGTGAAAATCATCTGAAATCTCAGAGGTGCCCACTGTGACCTTTTGGCGAGCATCTCCCCAGGCGCATGTGCACGCAGACCTTAACGCCTCCTCCCACAGCCACAGTCACAGAATTAATATCACTTTGGCAAGACTGGGGAGGATCCTGGTGCAAAGGCCACAAAGATAAGGCCATGATGTCATCCTCATGAGAGTTGCTTGCCTTAGCTTGTCTAGGAAGAAGCAACCATTATGAAAGGCCTGATATTGGGCATGGAGAGAAGAAAATGGAAAGACTAAGGTCTCGGGATAATTAAAGGAGGTTGTAAAACATGATGGTTAAAAATTAGACATATAGGACAATAAAATAAGCAGGAATGGGGTCTTGGGAAAGAATCAGGCTGGTTTATTTAAAACCCTGTCACCCAGAACCCTGGGGTTCGTTTGTTCGTTCATTAATTCATTCATTCAGTGAATATCTATTGATGACTATTATGTGTCAGGACATCTTAGACTAAGGACTGCAAAGGTGAGTAAGACATGGTCCCCGTCCCCAAGGAGCTGTGGTCAGCTGGAGGGAAGACTGACCAAGTAATGAGGTATAACATGATACCAGTTCTAAAAGGGAAGGATAGGAATAGAGAGAATTTTCTAGAGAGAAGGCCAACCAAGAGAACATCTGACAGATGAGTAGGAGTTCTCCAGTTGGAGGGTGAGTGAGACCAGTTTGAGGTGGGGAGTGACCCAAGGGAAGGAACAGAACCTGCAAATGTATGAAGCAGAGACCAGTCACTGGGGTAACTGATGTGAGATCAAAGATGCTGAGGGGCGGGGAGAGTAACAAGACACAGATTGAGAAAGCAGTAATTCACCCTGCAGCTGCCATTCATTCCGATATTTTCTAGTCTGCCCTATTTTGTTTTTAAAGTGTTGGTCAGGGGCAAAATAAACTGATCACAAAATAGTACACATTATATAATTTCATTTATGTGAAATTCTGTAACAGCAAAACTAAGCTATAGTGGTAGGAACAAGATCAGTGGCTGCTTGGGGTGCATGTGGGTGGGGCAAGGTTAACTGCAAAGAAGCGAAATAGAACTTCCTTAGGAGATGAAAATGTTCTCTATCTTGATTGGGGTGGTGGTTACATGGGCATATGCACTTGTTAAAAATAAATACATAAAAATAAGTGCATCTGAGGGAACGTTCTGGGGTGGTGTTGATGTTCAATGTCTTGATAAGGGATTTGCATTGCACAGGTGAATGCATTTGCCAAAACTCACCAGATGGAACACTTAAGATTAGTGCATTTTGTTGTATGTAAATTTTACCTTCAAACAATGGAGCAAGGTTGAACTGTAGCTGCCAATATGCATACTGAAGTGTTAGGAGGAAGTACTCCATTATCTACAACTCACTTTTTGAAATGCATCAAAAAATAAGATAGATTGGTGGGTAGCTAGAGGAATAAGAAGGTTGACAGATATATTTTAAACTAAACATAATAAAATGTTAAAACATGTCAAGACAATTCAATGAGAAAAGATTAGCCTTTTCAATAAATGGTGCCAGGATAACTTCATATCCACATGCAAAAGAATGAAGTTGGATCCTTACCTCACATCATATACAAAAATTAACTCAAAATAGATCAAGGACCTAAATGTAAGAGCTAAGCTATATTACTCTTCAGAGAAACCATAGATGTAAATCTTCCTGAATTTTGGTTAGGCACTGGTTTCTTAGCTAGGACACAAAAGCACAAGTAACAAAAGAAAAAATAGATGAACTTGATGTCATCAAACTTAAAAGCATTTGTGCTTCAAAGGACACCATCAAGAAAGTGAAAAGATAATTCACAGTTTGGGAGGGAATTTTACAACAGTTACAATTCACTGATTACAAAACAAACAACCCAATTTAAAAATAGGCAAGGATCTGAATAGTTTTCCAAAAATACATATGCAAGTGGCTGAGAAAAACATGAAAAGATGCTCAGCATCACCAGGAAAATGAAAATCAAAACCACAATGAGATATCACTTTACACCCATTATGATGGCTCTTATCAGAAGACAGACAGAAAATAGCAAGCATTGGTGAGGATGTTGAGAAATTGGTACCCTTCTACAGTATTGATAGGGCTATAAAATGGTGCAGCCCCTTTGGAAAACTGACAGTTCTTCAGGTGGTTTAAACACATAGTTACCATATGACCCAGCACTTCTGCTCCTAAGTATATACCCAAGGGAAATGAAAATGTGTACATATATAAACTTGAACATGAATGTTCACAGCAACACTAATCATAGTAGTCAAAAGGTAGAAATGACTCAAA